TTCTTTCTTTCTTTCTTTCTTTCTTTCTTTCTTTCTTTCTTTCTTTCCTTTCTTTCTTTTTCTTTCTCTCTCTCTCTCTCTCTTTCTTTCTTTCTTTCTTCTTTTCTTTCGCTTTCTTGTTTTCTTGCTTTCTTTTGTTCTTTCTTTTTCTTTCTTTCTTTTTTCTCCCCACTTTTGTTTTCATTATTTATTTTCTCTTTCCATGTTATATCATCATATTTGATCATCTTCAGAGAGCAATAAGCTTTTGTATGTAACATTTTTGAATATGTCCATGAATTCCATTTCTGTGCCATCCCCAGCACTGCTCTGACTTTCTGTGGTTTGTCCTTAAGTCACTGAACTGCTTAGTTTCTTATTAGTTTCTTCTTTGGTAACATGTTTATTATTAGGGCTGTTTTTCATTGAGGAATTTATCTCAGTCTAGAAAATCTTTCTAGAAAAAAATTAGGCATTCTAATCCAGGAATTTAGAGGCTGGTTGTTATGAAGATCAATTACTGGTTTAATAAAACACATGGTATATACCCATGTGATTTACTGCTTTAATTAAATAACAAATATTTGCATATCTACATTGATATCTCTTTAAAAATAAAAGGAACCATATCATCATTTAGACAGGTTTTCTACATTTCTTGGACTCAGTGGAAGCTCAGACTAGTTCAAAGTAAAACTAGAAAATATTAGAAGAGGAGAAAGAATAAGAAGCAACAGGCTGAGTGTTCATTGTTTTGTGAATGTACCACAGTGATAATATGGTTCAACTTGTTTTATATCTGTTAACCTACTCATCATGCTGACCCTGGGATGTGGGTACTATTACTAGTGCTTTTTCCATGTGAGGAAACTAAGGCATAGAGAAGAATTATATCCAGACTGTCAGCTCCCCAAGCTTTTAGTCACAGCACTGTGGTAACTCTACCCTATACTGCCTCCACAGATTCTTTGGACTGAGTGGAAAATGCTTTGTGATTGTTCAGTTATTTTCAGATGGCCTCTTCATCTTTTCTTTTGCAAAAACTATCATTTTAGAAACTTGACATCTCTTGTCCTTAATGCCAAATAGAGAGAGGAGATAGAGCTAAACCAAAATGCTTTGTATGAGATTCTTTTATATTTTATTTCAACTGAAAATACCAGTCTTGTGTTATGGAATAAAAGAGTTCTTAAGTTTTGAATTTGTATTCGTAGATTTTTAGTGGCATACTGATAATTTCAATTTTTAAAATGAAAATTGATCTTTAACAAGTTGCATGCAAATAATTTAATCTTCATGTAGAGAGGTCATTGTGGGTAAGTGAGATAAGCGGGGATATATTTTACATTTTAAAGATAAAAAACAAGTTTACCATTTACAATAATTTACTTTCATGTTTATTAAAAAAAAACTTTTTATGGTAAAAGTCACATAACATGAACTTACTATCTTGGCTATTTTTAAGTTACAATTCAGTGTTAAGTATATTTCCATTGTTGTGCAACCAGTCTTTTGAGATTTTTTTAATCTTGAAAACTGAAATTCTATACTGTTTGCAACTTCTCATTTCCTCTCTCCTCCACGCCTGCCAACCGCCATTCTACTTTCTGTTTCTATGATTTTGACTATTTCAGATACCTCCTCATGTAAGTAAAATCATACAGTATGTGTTCTTTTGTGACTGGCTTATCTTTCTTAGCATAATGTCCTCAAGGTTCATCCATGTTGTAGCATATGTCAGAATTTTCTTCTTTTTAAAAGCTGAATAATATTCCATTGTGTATATATATATATATATATGCCACATTTTGTTTATCCATTCATCTATTAATGGACATTTACATTGTTTTCACATCTTGGCTATTGTGAATAATGCTGTTATAATCATGGGTATACAAATATCACTTCTAGAACCTGCTTTCAGTTCTTTTGGATATATATCCAAAGGTGGAATTGCTGAATCATATGGTAATTCTGTTTTTAATTTTTTGAGGACATGCCATACTGTTTTCCATAGTGGTCAAACCATTTTACTTTCTCCCTAATAGTACACAAAAGTTTTAATTTCTTCACACCCTTGCAAACACTTGTTATTTTGTGTGTGTGTGTGTGTGTGTGTGTGTGTGTGTGTGTGTGTGTGTATGTGTGTTTGTAGTAGGTAGGCATTTTAACAGATGTGAGGTGACATCTCATTGTGGTTTTGACTTGCATTTCTTTAATTCATGTTTCTTTATGTTCTTCTATAATGTAAGCCATCCACTACAACTAAAAGGAACATAAATAGTTTTGAGTCCCAATTATTTATTTAGAAATAATTTTGTTCAGTTTTCCTTTCACAGTGCTTCGCTGTTATTCTCAAAATATCTTACTTTTGGTTGTGCTTTAAGCCCAGATTTTATCTACTGTTTCTTTGTTTGTAGCTGTTCTTCAGTTGCTGATAGTAGACCTGGAGACTTCTTCAAGCATCTCCATTTTGTGCTGGTGTCAGTGTCTTCAGAGCTTCAGTTATCTCAATGGCAAAGCCAGGGCTTCTGGTACATTATCCTGCTGATGGTTTCTCTCTGGTTCCTGAGGCTCTACCTGCACTACCTGGGCCAGTGGCTCTTCCTCCAGGCCATTTCAGCTCCTGTTACAAGGTGAGTGCTTTCCTCTGAAAGTCAAAGGAATGTATTTTCATCTTGATAGGACACATGAAAGTATGAAACACCTCTCCCATCCATTTACCATAAGACCTAAAATGCAGAGATGATTTGAAAAGACAAAAATGTCTTTATCTAAGAGCAAGAACTTCTATTACAGTTATAGTCTCACCTTATGGGCCTGTATATATAAGTACATAACTGGTACATCAATATATATTTTAAATTTAGCAGATTCAAATATGTTCTAATATCTGAGCAGGTTCCAAAAAGGAATTTAGCAACAATGTTTTATTCTATTTTGATTTTATCAGAGTGACTTAGGCTGAAGGTATTTTAGAAGTAATGTAAGTGTGATTTATCACCTATTCACAGAGAAGCAAAGATTGCTTCTTCTGCAAAATGATTGAATTCAAACAATTACCAAACTCAAGCCCAGGCAGCTTTCTGGGCCATTATCCTCTGGAAAAAGATGACACTTTAAAGGTTATCTCTCCATAAACATGATTTCAAAGACACTATAGATAGACAAACAGATAGATACCAATACAAGTAAAATTCATTTTCTCAAATGTAGATGGTACGGATAAAAATAAAATTGTGTGTATATTTTCAATTAAAAGGATTGCAAAGAACTTTAAGACTTTATGAAAAAGAATATATATGTTTATTTGTATTTATACATACATATATAGTTATTGATATTCTTTGAAAATTAAATCATAAATGTCTGAATATATTATGGAATATGCAAATGTGTCTATACTAAACTGCATTTTCAAGGGGGAATTTTTATCTGGATATTCTCTTTGTTCCTCCTTTCTTTCTTTCTCTTTCCTTTTTTTAACGTTTCCAAAGCAGAAAGAACAAACGTTGTATGCTTGGGTTAGTTGTTTTTTGCTTTTCACTCTTTTATTTTTTAACAGAAAAGGAAGCCCTATCATTTGTTAGTTGTTAATAAAATGAGACTGCACAATGTAACTTGGCAGCTCAGTTGCACCAACTTCTTAAGCAACCAAGGACCTAAGATACAAAGGGTGTTTTTCTGGCTACCGTCTCAGTCTGTAGGCTTGAGTCATGCAGTGGCTCTGTGTCACATTTTACCTTTGAGCCATAGCATTAACAGCGCCAACAATGAGCATGTCTTCCACTCTCACTCTGTGTCAGATATTGTGCTAAGAAATGTATGTGCATTACTTTATTTGATATTCACAACCACATAAGGACAAAGCATAAAACTTTCTTTGAAGCACAAGTCAAGGAGTAGATGGAAAAAACACCTCCCTTTAGTAGATGGCAGATAAACAGAATGTATGAGCAGGTTTAAGTATGAAACAGCTTTACATAGGCTGAAATTCAGGGGAGGGAAAACTTAAGGTGAAATAAAGTCTCACTGCAAGAAAGACAGTGGCAAAGCCTGGGTCGAGGATGCTTGAGTGACTGGGCTCAGATTGGATCTAACCCTTAGGCTAGGTCCTTCAAATGTGTCTAGTTGACTCTTTCAGAACAACAAAAGGGTGTGATATTTTGGTTGTTAGTGGTGACAGTGTCATTTTTGTTGTTTCTGGGAATCTAGTTATAAGAATCACCAGTAAAATCAATCAGTTATGCTAAAACTCTAAAGAATTATTAGATGTATATCTAGTCCTCATTTCTATTAGAGACTGACACATTAGAAAATTCACTGGTCTATTCTGCATTTTAAGTAGCCTACTAAAATGTGCCTGTGAACTGCAGAAATGCTCTAGTCTTTAGAAAGCTCTGTTCTGTGGCTCAGATTGACATACTTTCTGCGGCGGCACAGGACAGTTACAACAACAATAAACAGGGTAGAATTTATTTATCTTTTCCTGGAAAGTAACATGTTGAGGGGCTGGGAAAAAAATGAAGAGTTCTAACAATAAATTTTGGGGCACTACTAAGTGTCCAGTTTTCTATATTTCAGAAAAAGCAAACAAAATGCAGTTTTAAAAATTGGTTTGTATGCTTGGCATTCTCTGCAGTGCCTCTTGTTTGCCCCTATGTGATTGCCTTGTTTTTCCACAGATTCCATTTTTCCCTCACACCATTGAGCTTTGCTACCCAACTTCTTCACTTCACATTGGAGAAGAGCTTGCTGTGGTTGTCGTGGGGCCTTTAATGCTGAATGCGATCCTACTTCTTTTGCTTCTGATCAGACGGGGCTGTCAGCTACTGTTTGCCTCCTGCCCTGATGTCTTGTCAAAGTTAATCATTACCATGGGACTATGGACAGTTCTAGACCCATTGGCAGTGTTTATAGTGGATACTTTCCTGGGGGTAAGTCAAATGAAATAATCAGGATATGAGTCCTTGACATAGAATTTATCTTTAGTGCATGAATCATTTGACATGGAAAGTTTCAATCATGTAAATGTAAGCTCCAAGAGGGTAGAGCTTTTGTCTAATCTTATTACTCTTTTATCTTCAGTTTCTAATGGCACAGAGTAGGCATTCAATACATGTGTGTCAAAGAAATAATTAGAATATATGCACTAGATTATGTGATTGCCATCAAATATGTATCATTTTTTTGTTTCGTTAATGAATCTCAAGTCTATTTCATTACCTTTAAGAAACAGCAGAAAGGTACGATGTGGAATAAGAGAAGTGCGTGATGACTCTTAACATCTCCTGCCGAAAGTCCTGGCAGCAGATATGCTTTTTGCAAGGCAGACTGGTTAACAAGTACAGAGTACAGAAATAAAAGTTTCGAGGTGGTGCTCAATGAAGCAGCAGCTGAGAGTTGGAACATCTCAATTCTACTCATTGCCCAATAACTAAAGTGTATTTTGGTATAGGGAAGATACAAATTAATCTGCTTAGGCTTCTGTTTTCATCTACACATGAGTAATTTGGATAAGCTTTTTAAAACAGTGCCTTTTCAACCTATCTTCATCATTAGTTTAATCATCAGTTTAAAAACTAAAGAAATTCTTCCTTCTCTATTGCATTGGAGAAAAGATACATTACTTAATATTTATATTTGCATATTATTTCCACTTACTATCAGGAGACTTATAATTAAAGGACATCCATATTTTATAAAACTCAAAGGTCAAAGATGTCATATGATGACACTGTAGGTCCTCACAAATGTGTATACTTTAAAAAATACATTTTATTGTTTTTTTAATTTCTAATCTAATGTAGCATACATCTTTCCTTGTCTAAAATAAGGGCTTTTTGTTACATTAACCTAATGTAAACTTGGTTTTTAAACTCACATTAAGTAGCCTGATAACTTTTTTATAAGTTTCTAAAATAAGCCATCTCTTTTATGTATAGCACAAATTAAATTCCTATCAAATCTGCTTCAGAAAGAAAGGAATGTTTTCACCGTCAGATTTAATTTCTTCATATCTTGTGCTCATTAAATTCAGAAGTTAATAGTACATAAATAAAACATGGCTTTTACTTTATGAATTGCATGTCGAGTGTTTGCATATAAAGGCTTAGAGGGAAAATGAGAAAAACCTGGTAAACCAAGCACGTAAAACCCAACCTTTTTTCTTTTCCTTTGTGTACCTGAAGGAAATCTTCAGTACCTAGAAGATTTAATTCAAAAACAAATTATAGGGTCACAGAGTCTTTGCATATTTACATTCACCTAACTTGATGATGAGTGTTTCCATTCTTAGTTTTTCAACTCTGTATTTGTTTGTGTCAGCGGCTTACAGATAATGAGGAGACTCTAGTGGCAGATGCAGCGAAGCTCTACTGGATGTTTGTAAGAACCACGCAACCAGGCATTCTTGGCGTGGTGATCACGGCTCTGCTTTACATCTTCCTGTTCATCATTTCTTCTTTGATTTTACATTCATATTGTCTCAGGTAAGATGCTTCAGTCGCTTTGTTCTTCAGTGTGTTCAGCCTCTGGTCTTCTTCTTATACATTTAGGTTGTGAGGAAATGGTTAAAAAAGAAAAGTTAGAATCATTTCTACATTGCTAAGGTACTCATCTCTTTAGTTACCTGTAACACTTGTCCTGAAGACCAGCCAGGAAATTATTTGGTTTTTATGAAAATATCTTCGCCATTATAGAGAGAGCTAATTTTGCTGTGAATTATAAAACCTGCTTCTCCAAACCAGAGGCCAGTAGCAAACAAGGAGAAATCTCTTGATATCTAGTGACATTCTGGGAAATTTCCTGAAAAGTTTGTCTTAAATCCTTTTTTTCTTCTCCTTCCAACCTGCTTCTTCCCACACTTCCCCACCTCTATTAAAGTCACCAATAGAAAAATCATTCTTCAGCTTTGATCCTGAATATCATGTATTTGGCTTGCCAGGTCACCAATTTAGCAAACAGTGTATGTGTGTGAAGAAAGAGAAGAGAAGCAATAAATACAAGGTGGTATAAAAAGTACTAGGAGGATGTTTTATTCTATTGATTATTTTATTTGTTGCACAGAATATCTTTAGTTTGATGTAGTCTCACTTGTCTATTTTCACTTTTATTTCCTGTATTTTTGGTGTACTATCCATGAAATTATTGCCAAGACCAACGTCATGATTTCCCCCTATGTTTTCTTCCAGGAATTTTAGTTGCAGATCTTATGTTTAGTTCTTTAATCCATTTTGAGTTGATTTAACATATGGTGTAAGATAAAGGTCAGTTTTATTCTTTTGCATGTGAATATTCAGTTTTCCCTGTGCCATCTGTAGAAGAGACTATCCTTTCCTCATTGTGTTTTCTTGGCATCCTTGTTGAAGATCAGTTCACAATATATGTGTAGATTTTTTTTTGGTTCTCTAGCCTATTACATTGTTCTATATCTGTCTTTTTATGCCAGTACTATATTGTTTTAATTACTGTAGCTTTTCAGTATAATCTAGCAATTCCACTTCTGGTATTTACCCAAAAGAAATGAAATCAGAACTTTAAGGAGATAATAGCATTCTCATGTTCACTGCAGCACTATTCACAGTAGGCAAGACTTGGAAACAGTCTAAATATCCATCAGTTGATGAGTATATAATGTGGTACATACATCCAATGGAATATTATTTGGCCATTAAAAAGAAAGAAGTCCTGTGATATGTGACAATGTAAATACATGTGTATAAACTTTGAGGACATTATTCTAAGTGAAATAAGCCAGCCACATAAGGCCAAATTCTGCACAATTCCACATATATGAAGTATCTGAATAAGTAAAACTCATAGAAACAGAAAGTAGAATGATGATTTCCAGGGGCTGAGGGGAAGGGTAAATATGGAGTTGCCATTCAATA